AATTATACATCAATATTCCTATGAAATATTAGATATTATTATTAAAATGTTGCCAGAATTATTACTCCAATTATTACACTTCTTTTTTCAGTAAATGTTGCTCCAAGAACACATTAATGTGCAAATTAGATACAGTGTATAGATACATTGCATTGAATGGGAATATTAATTTATGGCCATTTTACCCACATATTGCAAAAAGTAAAATGGTGTATCAATTCATTCCATTATTTCTTTCATAACATAGGTGAGAATAATCTTTATACAAATTTTGGTTGAAAAAATCCTGAAACCCCAAAATGTATTGGTGATTGAAAAAAAATCCCATTGTTTTTGCCTATACATATAATTTCATGTCATTTTATTTTTTAAACAACTTAGTCCTGGCGTCCACTACAGAGGACATAGCATAACGTATGAATAAAATGTTATTTTATATATGCGTTTTTGTTACCATTTGTTTATTGTGCTCTAAACAGTGTGATGACATGGAAAAAAAACAAATTCAAAAAACTTTTTTTTTCTGGGTCTCAGGAGGATATAGTAGAGAGTCAGACTTCAGATAGATGGACCGTTGCACAAAGCACTGAGGACTCTGACTATCTTAAGTAGGACTACACTGCAATGCATTCTGGGTAAAATAAGACACTTTTCAAAACAGAAAACCATGGCGGATCGAGTAGCGCATTCAACCGCTCGGTGCAGTTTACCCCAGCGGGAGATGTGTGTGTGTTGGAGGAGTGTAACAGTCACAAGGACATTTTACTGGGGGAATTTAGCGGAGAATGTAGAAACAAGAAGAAATGTTTAATTTGGAAAGGTCCATTTTCCCTTTTCTTTCGGCTGTTTGTAATGAAACTGATTGTTACTGCTGGTTGCCAAGGTAACGGATTGTTACTGCTGGTTGCTAAGGTAACGGATTGTTACTGCTGGTTGCCAAGGTAACAGAGTCTTAGACCTGAGTTAGCCTGGGGGAAAGTGGTCTAAATTAAGTCAGTCTTTATTTTTGTGAAGCAGTCCAACTTGAATTAGACTAGTCTATGAGCAAACTTTGGACTTGTCTAACACTATAGACGAATCCGGCGAAACTACCAGAAGTTAGCGGGCGCCATAACTGAGCTGTTGCTGGGTAGCGTTGCGCCATTGCCTCCTATTGTTTTAGTTGCAACTTGCGTCCACTGGAATAAACAGCCCGCGATTTACGACTGTCACTAACGTTACAACTTGTATAATGTCGAGTGGGAAAACATGTTGGCATTTTGAAAAATCATCGGATGCCAGGCGAAGAAGAAAATACTCTTGAATAGCTTTAAAACAACAGAAGGGGCGCATTAGGGCAGTAACGTTAGTAACATTACTGTTATGTCTGTTGTTAATGTTTGATTTGCTTGACTGTGACAGATTTTTTTTTAAATAAATTAAATTAAATTAAATATGCATTTTTTGCTATAGTAACAATTATTTAATGACATAAGTAAAAAAAAAAAAAAAAAAATGTAATATAGTCCTCAGCAAAATCTCCTCTCTAGCTATTTTTTCTATTCAATTAACATGCTATGGTCATTAAATGGCTTTCCTGAGCTAAATGTAAAGTTATGTGACATAATTGTTCTCCTGCTGTTATTTTGACCTCTTTCCATGGTTTTAAAACACTAATTGGTCGATATTATGTATACTTTCTAGCTGTAACGTTACCTTACCCTCGCCTTTTGCAATGTGAAAATGAGATAAATAATGGACACAAATGAAAAACATGAATTCGTTTATTTGATGTCATTCATTTATTTATTGCCAAATGGACAGATCTTTTTATAGTTTCCTCGTTAGCTAACGTTAGCCTAGCTAGCTTGCCAAGCTATTATCATAAATAATCTGTAAGATCGTTTGTACCTTCATCTGTGACTGGAGGCCACTGTCTAACATCATCAACCCAACAAGTCATTCTGCCTGGCGGTAGCTGGCATCGGAGGTTTGTTTACATACCGGTAACAGCTCAGTAATGGCGTCGCCACAAGATGGCAGCCTACACAGAACGCTCGTCGGATTCGTCTATAGTATAGCTCTGTGAAACCGGCCCCTGTGATTCCAGCATTTATTTGTGTGTTTTCCCGCTTCCAGAGTATGGGAACGCAGGAGGATGACGTCGGCAGCAAGACATCAAGCTACTCTTGAAGCTTTCGGGTGGATCACTGCGTCCCCCGCGTCCCCTTCCTCGTCCCAAAGCTGGAAAACCTTCATGCTCTGTTGAATATGGACTATATTGGAGGAAAACATAAATGTGTGGAATGACCCCCTTTTTTTGATTCTGTCACAGTGCACCCTAAACAAGAACTCATTTTTGTCAGTGTTTATTTATCAATGCTTGGTTGACATGCCACTGCATCATTTACGGTCTTACGAAATAAAGAAACTGGACTTCTTTAGTCAAAAGAGTTTAACTTGTCTTTATTGCAGCAACACAGAACAAAATAAAGAAACTATCTTGAGATCACACACAGGTGAAACTCGAAAAGTTCATTTATTTCAGTAATTCAACTTAAAAGGTGAAACTAATACTCATTACATGCAAAGGGAGATATTTCAAGCCTTTATTTGTTATAATTCTTACATTTGAAAACCTTTCACAATCTAATTTTGAATTTGGGGTTTTCATAAGCTGGACAATCATCACAATTATAACACATAAAGGCTTGAAATATCTCACTTTGCATGTAATGAGTCTATATAGTATATTAGTTTCACCTTTTAAGTTGAATTACTGAAATAAATGAGCTTTTGCACGATATTGTAATTTTTCGAGTTTCACGTGTAAAAAGCCGAGCTTGACCAATGTTATCATGTCAAAATGCATCTACAGGCTCTATTTAGTGCACTGACATTTACAGGATCTTTCGACAGCTTCTGTGATGTGATGCTCTTTCACCCAAAGACAGTTTGATCCATCAGCTGATGCGATGTTTAGTTCGCCCTGGAGCCGGATGTTCACTGCGGTTCACAGTGATTCAGCAGAGACGTGGCTCGTGGCAAAGGTGTGCTTTTGTTCCAGTCCTCTAGAGGTCTCTCATGATTTGGGCTTTACCATAAATAGATTACACATCATCACATACCTAGAAACTAATGCTACCTGAGCCTGACTTCCACGAAAACATGTTTAGGTCGTGAAAGAAAACGATGGGCATTTCAAACCAGGCTTTTCAGAAATAGGCGTTTAATATTATTTAGAAGAAATGCATGTTTCTTTAGAGGAATGTTACATATGTGCAGGTGAAACTCGAACTCGTGCAAAACTTCAGTAATTCAACTTAAAAGGTGAAACTAATATATTATATAGACTCATTACATGCAAAGTGAGATATTTCAAGCCTTTATTTGTTATAATTGTGATGATTTTACAGCTTATGAAAACCCCAAATTCAAAATTAGATTGTGAAAGGTTTTCATATGTAAGCCATAATCATCACAATTATAACAAATAAAGGCTTGAAATATCTCACTTTGCATGTAATGAGTCTATATAATATATTAGTTTCACCTTTTAAGCTGAATTACTGAAATAAATTAACTTTTGCACCGTATTCTAATTTTTCGAGTTTCACCTGTATGTGTCACTCCCAATTTAGATCATACAAAATTATTTATATATACAATTTATTTATGCTTTTGGGGTGTCTCTTATATTTCTGTGTCACTGCTAAAATAATTATAAAATTGAGGGTTGTGTATAGAATTATCAATGTTATTGAACCTCATTTCCTTCCTTGTAATATACCATTTATTGATGATTTAGGGGTGTTTCGTGCCGTATTTTCATGTGCCACTATTAAATTAGATGATAAAATGACGGGCTTTCTTGTTAAATTTCAATTAATTTTCTTTTAATATTATATATAAACAATCTAATGATGATTTTGGTGTGTTTATTAAGAGAGTGAGTTATCTTATATTCGTGTCACTAACAAAATAGATTTTCTGGTTAAATTTAAACTTATAGGCTACATTTTTTCTTGTAATATTATTCATAAACAAATTATTGATGATTTTGAGGTTTTTCTTATCTTATATTCATGTGGCACTATCAAAATAGATAATAAGGCTTTCTTGTTAAGTTTCAATTAATTGTTATTTTAATATTATTTATAAACAGTTATATTGATGATTAAGGGGTGTTTCTTGAGAGCATATGAATATCATAAACTCATGTATCACTAGCAAAAAAGATTTTTTTTTTTAAGTTGAAATTGAAGTTACATTTCAACTTACAGGCTTAATTGTTCTTGCAATATTATTCATAAACCATTAATTAATGATATTGTGGTGTTTCTTGGTCTTATTATCTTTTATATTCCTGTGTTACTATTAAAATAGGTCATTAGAATTGTTACATTTCGTTGTAATATTATTTATAAACCATTCATTGATGATATTGGGGTGTTTCTTGATGTTACAATATTTTATATTCCTGTGTCGATACCAAATAAGATGATAAATTTGAGGTTTGTCTTGTTCATTTTTACAGAAAATAGGCATAATTTTCTTTAAGCCAAATTTATATTTGTATTTTATCAATGATTTGGGTCTAAAATATGACAAAAATAGCTTATATGCAATCAACAAAATATTAAATCCGGTTCAAATGCGTTGTTTAACTAATTTATCCAACCAGTCCCTGTGGAATCAGTTCTCCGTAATGAACGAATGGGACAGAGACGCTCCACTTTCACACTCATGACAACAGTGATTTTCAATTTCTCAACTTCAATGCAGGTAGGCATGTGTGTTTTCTACTTGAATGACATAACCAACAAGAACAGAAGGACCGACGCGAGGTGCTACTGCAGCCAATCACAAGCGCTCCAAGTCTTTGAACAAAGACAAGCGGACGCGCCAGCCAATCAGATTTCAAAGTTCTGAAACGTCGGCGGGGCTTTAACGGAAATGACACGCGCGATAGCCAATCAAAGCCACGGGCTACAAGCCATCTGCCAATCAGCGTGTAGTATCGCAAGGATTGCGTCGCCCACGGTGCTCAGTTGAATTCCATTGCCGTCCATTAAAACAGCCGACTTGGAAAATACAATATCAAAGTGTGCTCAGTTTTAGCACAAGCTTGCGCGCGTTATTATCGTCAGGAATGACATATTTATGCAGCGAGGGTATTGAGAAACGCTCCACGCATGTATAAGGTACGCATCTTCGACCCCGCATTGCCTGGCAAAACGGAACAATTGGTGGATAATTCTCCTCGTGACTTCATTTCATCGCTGAAATACAGAGGAACTCGAATGTGTTTTCTGTCATGAGTCCGGCCGGGTGCTCCCATGTGAACGGGTTCAAAGTGGACAACTGGAAGCAGAATCTGCGGGTCATATACCAGTGCTTTGTGTGGAGCGGCTCTGCCGAAACCAGGAAACGCAAGGTAAATAAAACCCACCAGAACCCAGTGGTGCATTGCATCGGCCCATCCTTCCCGATGCCAAGTCGCATTGCCCCCTCAAACACAATTCGTGATTTATTTTCACCAAGAGATATGAATCCACGTTTATCCCAATGCTGATGCATTGGCTGGCCTGCGCAGACTCCTAATGCATTGCTTTCATGGGGCTGGACGTGGGGATCAAGAGATGCTATTCAGCTGCCAGTGTTTTTTACTGGCTTTAAGCGAGTTTAATTGTCATTTTGACCTTACAAGACCTAATTTCTTCGTTGTTTGATGCTTAACCAGGCCTTTAAAATCATTGATTGCCCAATGCACGAATAGAGGTTTCAGTTTCACAGTTATCACGGAATGTGTCCGTTGTGTGTCATCATTCAGGAGGACAAACAAGTTATGTTCACTGCCTCCATTTTTAATAATTCCATTATTATAGCAACAATTCGTGAACCTTTTTGAAACGGATCATTTCACTGAATCGTTTGAATGCTTCGTTTAACAACCGCACTGAATCGGTTCGCCGACTAGTTTGAACCGAGAACCGTTAATTATTCAAAAATATAACTGAACTAAATGACGTTTTTAAAGAGTTGAGTCTGCTTCAACTTAACCGATCATTACAATTAAATAAAAACTCTTAATAGTGAATCTACATAATGGCTTTATAGTGCAACAGTCGGATGTCAAAATCCCTTTTATTTTCTCCTTAGTGGAATTGATTATTAACAATAACCTTTAAAGACAGACCTACTGTGACTTGAGCTACTTATGATTGTATTATGCTTTTGTTAAAGCCGCTAGCCAACATTCTTACAACTTATTTTGTAAATAATAAGTTTTAACAGAGAATTTATGGTGAATTACTACATTACCCATAATTCTGCTCACACTCTCCACCAATCAGAGAATGGAAACAAAAAAATTGCAGCAAAATAACTCTTAACCGCCTGCCCACTCCCATGATGCACTGCAAATGACATAGTCAGTTCCCTGAAAGTCAAAATATACTGTTTTTATATACATAATGCGTTTAAACGATAGTCCAAGGCATCATGGGATTGTGGTTTCTTCCCTTATTAAAGTTCACAGTTTGGTGCCTTTGTCTTTCTGTGCCGTTTTCAAATATGTTTTTCCTTCAAATCATATTTATAATGTTTTGATTAATCTCGTAGCTGGTTGGCTTGTTTCATGGCCTTTTTAAAAACCCTATGGGAAACCTGAACCGGTTAGGAACCATGTGACGGTGCACAGAAACGTTGATTTAGTTATTTTGAATCACTTCATTAAATAAGTGTTCGAAAGAACCAATTCGCAGAAATGAGTCAGACTCTTATCACTTTTTCGATGTCGTCAAAGCGTGTGGCATCAAATGACAGTTTAATAACTAACTATCCTAACTCAACCCATCTCCCTCGGGAAAACAAAGGATTATCCTGAAATGTGCATCATGATTCATGCAAATCAAATGTCACCCCCGATATATGCGTCTCTGCTGTGAAAGAAATGCCAGTCTCACAGGCTTGCCAGATTGATATGTCACACATGATAACACATATTGATGATAATCATTTTATGGGCGAATCTTTGGTAATGGGTTGTTTATTAATATAGGGTGAGTGCCGTCATGTTGCCTCAAGTTACATCTGGTTTACTCAAGATTGCATGACTCATCATCGTCACAATTGAGGTCAAGTCAACTGCGTTTTATGTTTTCTTATTGCATTATTTTTTTATTCTTCAGGAAATTATTCAATGGTGATGTTTTTTTGCATTATTAATAAAAAAACCAACAATAATTCTTATCTATAAACCAGCCACATGATCGTGTCCCTGTGTGCATTGACTTCCAAATTCAGTGAGTAAATGTCACGTTTTTAATATACTGTATGCATTGAATGACAAGCTTTCTGTGAAGTATTAATGCATGTAGTGTCCCATAATCTCTATCTCATGGAAAACTAATTTGGTTTTTTATTACAGCACATCTGACGTATTAGAGACACCCGCTATTCTCAGCCTTATTATACAGTTTATTTAAACTGGACGGTTCACCCAAAAATGACAATTCTGTCTTCAATTGCTCACCGAACCCATAAGACTTTCGTTAAGATACAAATTAAGATATTTTTAATGAAGTCTGTGATATTTCTGTCCCTCCATTGAAACCCAACACTTCAAAGCATTCATAAAATAAATCCATTTGAACCGAGCAAGTACGGTTTAGCTTTTGTTGCACGAAATATCGGCCACCGTATCGGTATCGGCCGATATATGGTAATTTCTTAAGTCATCGTTATCGGCCCGATAAGAAAATTTGGCCGATATATTAACGCCGATAAATAATGTATTATTTCCTTCAGCTGAGACACTTCAGATGCGCACTGTTCAACATGATGGTTTTGAATTGCTTGAAATATGATTGGAATTACATCAAAAAAGGAAAATAGAGTAAAGTGCAACTTATGCAGATGAAGTCATATCGGCTACATAAAATTATAAAGAGAACATTATAATTGTGTGCTTGGGACATGGGATTTAATGGTGAGACTTTTGTTTATATAATCAGGCTCTCAAAAATTATATAAAAATTTGATTTGGATTTATATTTATCCGTCAATATATCGGTTATCGGCTTTTAAATGTAAAGTTATCGGTATCGACCAAAATGTTCATAATTGTGTGCTTGGGACATGGGATTTAATAGACTTTTGTTCTTGTAATCAGGCTCTCAAAAATGATATAAAAATTTGGATTTAGATTTATCGGCCAATATATCGGTTATCGGCTTTCAAATGTAAAGTTATCGGTATCGGCCAAAATGTTCATAATTGTGTGCTTGGGACATGGGATTTAATAGACTTTTGTTCTTGTAATCAGGCTCTCAAAAATTATATAAAAATTTGGATTTAGATTTATCGGCCAATATATCGGTTATCGGCTTTTAAATGTAAAGTTATCGGTATCGACCAAAATGTTCATAATTGTGTGCTTGGGACATGGGATTTAGTAGACTTTTGTTCTTGTAATCAGGCTCTCAAAAATTATATAAAAATTTGGATTTAGATTTATCGGCCAATATATCGGTTATCGGCTTTCAAATGTAAAGTTATCGGTATCGGCCAAAATGTTCATATCGGTGCATCACTAGCTTCCGTTTCCCATATTTGAGTGTTTGGTGTACGTTCGCGGATCAATGTTTATATGTGAATAAAAGCCTAAATTAAATGTTCAAGCGATCGTGACTCTTCAGAAGACGCGCTTGGTTCATTTTGCGATCTCTTTATGAACGTTTTGAAGCGTCAGAGTTTTGGGTTTCAATGGTAGGGACAGAAATCTCTCAGATTTCAATAAAAATATAAGTATCACTTTGTAATAAGGTTCATTAGTTAACTACCTTAGTTAACATGAACTAAGAATGAACAATAATTCTTAAGCATTTATTATTATTAGTTAATATTATTAATTTCAACATTTACTAATACGTTATTAAAATCAAAGGTTGCATTTCTTAACATTAGTTAATGCACTGTGAACTAACACGAATAAACAGCTGGATTTTTATTAACTAACATTAATAAATACAGTAATAAATGTAGTGCTTATTGTTAGTTAATACATTTAATAATGAACCTTCTTGTAAAGTGTAACCAAATATCTTCTTTCTGAAGATGAAAGAAAGTCTTATGGGTTTGCAACGACACAAGAGTGAGTATTTGATGACAGGATTTTCATTTTTAGGTGAACTAACCCTTTAATGCAGCGTTTAGACATGCCGGATTTACCCATCTTAGGTCACAGTTGACAGATTAATCACAAGTTCTCAGAAACCAGATGGCATCAGGTGGGAAAGGGACCAGCTCGCCTCTCATCTGTCAGGCTGTACCCGTGAAGGAACAGCAGGAATATAAAGCCCTGCTGCAGAACAACACACAGTGTGTGATGAAGGCCTTCAGTGGATGTGTTTTACACCAGTGCAGAGTCTAAGCTTCAGATGGCACACCCATCCGTCTGATGCTCACAATAGGCCTGGGGTTTTGATTCACAAGTGAGTCATTTCGATTTGCCCCCAATAGTTGAGGCCCGTTCACACCAAGGACGATAACTATTAAGATAACGAAGATATAATAATATAATATAACTATATAAAGATTTAGTTCTAAAAATCATTCTCAATACTAAAGAATAGCAGCGTTCACACCACAGATATAACCAGGGTTTGATATGAACTTTTTCACTCACCCAACAATTTGGCTGCTAAATTTAAGTTACCGGCCATTCAAAACTTCTACTAGCCAAAAAAAGCAATGAACCAGATTAAAGGAACTGTATGTAAGATTGTGGCCAAAACTGGTACTGCAATCACTTTCAAATTACTGTAGAGTGGTGTATCCATAGATATCCATAATAAAGGCTAAATGTCTCGTCCCGCTGCTGGCCAATGGAGGTCGACGTCTGCACTGGCGGCCATCTTGCCACAGGCAGCTCGCTCACTCGTAACATTGTGTTTTAACGGTGCATGTACTTTTTAAATAACCACAACTTGCTCAATTTTCTACCGATTTTCAAACGGTTTGGTTTGTTATAAATGTCAGAGATGTAGTTATGACACTGCAAACTTACAAATAATAAGTGTATCAATAAATAATCATCCAGAATTATAGCCACGTTAATAACGTTTGTAAATCCGTCAAGATTTCAACGAGATAAGAGTATTTGTGTTCGTGCTGATCACTCATCTTACATCAGGCACCAGAAAGCTTGCCTGTGACAAGATGGCCGCCGGTGATGACGATAGAGACTCCGCCGTAAGACATCACGAAGTATTTCGGAATCATAACGAGTTTATTTTGGATTCGTAACATTAGACATTTTTTTATCCGACACGTTTGTAGCAAGCGTGCCGCACAAGCCCTGAAATGTGAAGCCAAAGCGTCTCGATCGCCCGCCAGTGGCCGGTCCTAGTATAGGTCATAAGCCCCGCCTCC